CCCCAGGAACACTCTCCAGCTCCTCTTGGGGGACCCCAAGACAGTTCTAGGCCACAAAAAGAATCGTGTTTCTTCTACCAAGGAAGGCATCCTGATTAGATTCCTGAACCACCTCAGCTGATTCTGTCACTGCAGAGGAGCAGCAGTATACTATACTCTAAAGGCTGAGCCCCAATAAGAAGGAAGTTCATTTTGGCTGCTTGTGTCTGGGATCTGTTCTTTTGGTCATGATCCAAACCTTCTGACTGTTGGAACATAGACGGAACAGTAAATCAAAAGCTTTACCTCCTCAACTCTTTCTTCACCACGGTCGACCAAAGCAACGTCCTTAATAAGACGAGGCTCCGATCCATCTCCTGCTCCTTCAGAGCTGACGTACAAAATATTAGGACGTATAAGATGTGGCTGTTCTGTGGCTATAAATAAAGTCTGGAACTGATTGAAATTATTAGCATGGTGAACATGGAATAATATATTTGATGGATTCTTCCATAGGTTGCACTGCTTTCATCTTTTTGATATTCAGAGCAGCACACACCTACAGTGGGGGAAGCCAAGTGAAAGGGCAGACATACTGCAGGGTGGCCCTGAACCAGGGAGCACCTCCATGCTGATTCCTCAGAGGAATCCGTCTTGACTTTCCTAATATTAGGACCCCCCCCCCCCACCTCCTTTTTTTATTGCACAAACAAAAGCTTCCTGTTGGCTGTTTTCCAGTCCAAGACAAGGGTGTTGAAGTGGTTGACAGCAAAAAGCCCAGCTGTAGTTGTTTTAGCTGGTCAGGAGGAAAAACAGCAGATGTAATCTCTTCACTGCTGTGTGGAGGAAATCCCAGCTTTATAAGACACGGTCTCTGTGCCTGACAGATTGATTTGATTTGATTTAGTTATTTAACAGGAAAAGATTATTAAAAATCAAGCCTGACTCAGCATAATTGCTGTTTTACAGCAGGTTCCTGTTCTCACTCAGAATTACAGCTTCACAATCACATCATTATTATTACACCATAGACACAAAGACATAAGCATACCAAATTTCAAAAAGAAAGAAAGTTCATATCCAGCTTAATAAAATGACAGAAGACAGCCTGTGGTGTGTGGGCTGTGGCCACAGGAGAGCTAACAGACAGGTTGTTGGGGAACAACTTATGAGAATTGTTTAAAAATTAATAAGAATGGTAAAAATGTTTAAATGGGTTGAAGGTTTCCTCTTTAATTAATGAGCGGCTAAATTAAAGGCAACAACTTTACAGGTTTTAGACCCATTTAATGTGAAAACAAAATTTTGTAGTGCAAAATTAGAGTGTTAGAAACTCTAAATATCACCATTTACAACAAACGCAACAGTTTAAATGAAAGAAGAGGAATAAAAAGAATACCTGGACTGAACATCTCCCCGGGTCTCACCTGGAACTTTGGGGTGGTCACATCCCGACGGTCGTGCTGTGAGTGAGTGCAGCGTTTGGGTTCTGGTTCTGGTTGCAGAGCCGCGCTGGGAGGTCGGCGGGCGGGGAGCCAAGTGCGCTCATCGCGGAGAGCGCGCTCGCATCTGCTCGGATAATCGGTTCGGAGCGAGCCGCAGGTGCTCCGAGTCTCTTCACATGGTGTTGATGATGATGATGATGATGATGATGATGATGATGAGCGCCAAATCACCGCTCTCTCCAGTTCAATTCTCTCTCATCGTCTACCCCGCCCCCAGCATCACCTCGCTCCGCGCTCAGCAGCATCACTCCCTCCGTGCGTCATCACACCCAGTCACCGTCGACCCCGCGTGACTCTTCCAGCTCACCTGGCCACCTGTCAATCAAACCACACGAAAAAGTTGCTTCTGTAAGTATTTACTCTCCGCTTCTGCCCAAACTTTAATTAATTAATTAAACTTTTTTTTAAGATCACCTCCTCTGGTTCTCATCCAGTCCCAGCACTTATTTTGAATGGATGGGTGATCAACAGGCTTGTGCAGAAGTTGAAGAGGTAATTACATCACTGAATCAGGTGTGTTGGAGCAGAGAAACAGCCTAATCTGGTGACCCTAGCACACTCTCACCTGGGCCTGATTTTATTATTATGATGATTTTGCCTTTATTATTATAATCATAAAATGTTAGTACGATGTCCATCTGTCATAGGTGGTCTTGTGTGGATGATATTTTCTGAGTGAAATTATAAACAGTATTTACTTATAAATAGGCCATTACTCAGTCTGATTACATTTGGGTATCCGTGGGTCACAGGTCAAGGTAATTTATGATGATTGGTATAAAACTGGCCTTTTCTTCTAATTTCTCGGTATAAAATTGACAAAATCTCCAGTACAATGGTTTGTGCATACAGCTGGAGGCAATCCAGTTCCACTTTGTTTAGGATAAATGTTCCCTATTTTCCTCGTTTCCCTCTGACAGTTTAGAAATCCTTGAGCATTATGCAAGTTTCCATGTCCCTATAGCTGTACGGTTTTCATAAGAGCTTTCCTTTTGTTTAATAGTGTTATTCTTCAAGCTCCTTCACACTTTAAGTCTCCATTTCTGGATTCAAACCTTCAAATACGGTGAAACTCCAAAGATATATAGCAATAGCCTTGAAAGACTGCATGTCCTCTGCTGAATGTTAGGAATGAGTCTCAGCTACACACCAAATTTTAGTTCAACATCTGAGAAATCGACCTAGACACTTTTTTGTTTTCTAAAGTCAGGCTGTGACAGTCATGTGAATTGGATTGATCTACAAAATGTAATCAGTTGTTTTTGTACATCCGAAAGTTTCCAAAGGTTTCATTAAAATCTATACAATTGCTCATGTGATATTTTGCTAACAGATAGATAAACAAGGATTTTGTGAACTGAGCGGCTTTTTGACTGTGAACGACATCAGCTAACAACATTAAATTTTAGATCAATATCTGTAAAACGACTTGAATTATAAACTTTGTAATGTTTTTAAAGGTCAGCTGGCTGTGCAGCCATGCTGAGTTTTAGATGTTCATCCAATTATTACATACAGAGTTTTATTCAAATTTGTCCAGTGGTTCATGAAGTATTTTAGTAAACACATTCAGACTCAGGCAGGAGCAGTCTTCTGGTGGTGGGCGATAAAGATTATGAAAGGATGTTTTTGGACACCCATTAAAAAAAAAACAATAATATTTGCATCACTGATTACAGCCTGGACACACAGGTCTGCAGTAAAGATGTTGGCTACAATCACAAAGTGGGAAAATTGTGTTTCTGTTATGATAATGCTTTTTATTTCTTATATAACAGGTCTAAATAGCAACCGAGTCAAACCTTCACAAAGTCTTCATACACATCTGATTACTGACTTGCATTAAACATGACACGACAGAGAGAGTGAAACTTGTTTTGAAACCAAAAGAGGCAATAAATTGTTCATTTCTGTGGGAACAGCGAGGTCTAAATGTTTGGCCTCTAATCTCCTCTCATTTATCATAAACCTCAGAAACTGGGCAGACTTGGCCTTTAAGAACGGCTTTTATTACTTTGATTAAATTTGGAAAAAGAGGACCCATTGAAAAATGTCTGTTCTTACAAAGGATTAATACAATATTCTAATTAAACCTGTTCCCTTTCAGCTGGAACTTCCATCATGCTTTACCTTTCTATAGAGATGTCTATACTTTGTGGTTAAATCAGCAAACAAGTGAAAACGTGTAAAGGTCGACTTGAATACGAAGATTTTTTTTTGTCAAGCTGCAGAAAAAAACACGCAACAAATTAACTTTTGAAAGTTTGTTACTGCAGCTGTTTTCATGTTTACTCTTTCACAAGGTTTTTGTATTTAAAGCACTTATGTCCTATTTTAACCCCTTCTATTTTACCCACTTCAGCACTCCTGTCTTCTCACACTGCTTTGTTCTACTTGTTGCTACAGTTCCTAATTTTAGCAACTGTTTTGCTGCTTTTAGTTTTTAACTTCTATTCTGCTATTTTATCTACAGTTCTTTTGCTTTTAGCTCCCATTCTGCTCCTCTTTTATCTACAGTTTTGCTACAGCTTTGATAATTTTAGCAAATACTTGATTATTTTTACCTTTTGCTTTTGTTTTTTTCTTCTTCTAGCTCCTGTTTCGCTAATTTTGACAAATGTTTTGTAAAAATTAGCTTTAGCATCTGTTTTACCTACTTTTAGCTACTGATTTTAGCACTCACAATGCTTTTTTTGCAGAAAAGGCTACTGCTCCAGCTAAAATTGTTTTTCCTTATGGTGCAGTCTGATGTCAGTGAGGCTTTTCTTATCTAATAATTGTTCTGCACTTTTTAAAAAATAATAAGATCAGTCAGAAAAAAAACACACATGATTTTATTTTGACATAACCACTTTTCTTCCCACAGAGTTCAGTTCCTCACTTGGAGAGTTGATAGTTTTTTTGAGAAGATGGAGAGATTTTACCTGCAGCTGCAGCTGGCCCACAGAGAGATGTTAAACCCATCTGTGAAGTCAACAGCTTCAGCGCTCAATCAATAGAGACACTTTTATCTTACAGTGTAAGTCTAGTTTTATTTATTTTTATACCCACTGCTACACCCCAGGGGTTAAGACAAAAATGGATTTTTTTTTATGTCAGGAATTAAACTCACAACCACCCATCTGAGCTCCTTGAGCACAAACACAGCAAAGTGCACGGAGAGGCATAATGAGGGATTCATTTTGTGTTTTTCTGCACAATAAATTGATTATTTCATTAGAGCAAATGTCACAGATGGAGCTGCTTTAAAATTGATTTTCACAGCAATTTAGATTTGAACTGCCATTTTATTCAAGGAGACTGAGCCCATCATTGTGCATACGGTGGACCAAACAAATAATCCTTTCAAAAAAATAAATGTATTGCATAATTAAAATGAAGCCAGTGAAAACACATTATTACAAAACACTGGTTGAAACAATGATGCCATGCTCCCGTTTCCCCCCTGTATTTGCTCATTTCGGTGGTCCTGAGCTGTTAGAGTTTGTTGTAAATGTAATTAAATCTGTGTGATTCACTCATTCAGGCGGGCAGTCGAGTTTTTAACACTGAAATCAATATCGCTGCACAGAAATAAGCATTTCCTATCACAAAGTCGACGAAGCAAAGTTGAGCATTCACAGAAATGTTGGCATTTACAGTGACATTCAGGGGAATTGCATATCAAATTTCTTATTAAAAACAGACAGATTTCAATCATGGCAGCAGATAAATGAAGACGGCTAACATCATACTCACTGTTTCTGACACATTAAGCTGCGTTCGTGTTGTCACTGTGTATTTTAGCTGCAGTTTTTATTATT